TACGAAACAAAAAATGAGTGGAATACTATGTCTATGATTAATAAAACTACATACTTTTATAATACAATATATATATACTAAATGTTCCTAGCTGTAAATTGCAATGTAGCACAGTAGTATTTATGAAAGTGTCTCGATCGGAACCTATTAGTTTGACATGTCTGCAACCTGAACAGTTTTTGATTACGTTATTTTACCGTCGGGTGGCTCCCCTGCGCGTTTACTTTTAGAATGATTTAAATATTGAGAAAGATATGAAATACGTCACGACGTTCTGTTGATGTAACCAAAGTCTACAAATATGTGAGATCTGCAGGCTCTATTTTAGAAATATAACCTGACACAAACCTTAATCCGGTCGCTTTCCACCCATAGGCATAGCAAAGTTTATATTTAGTATCCAATCAAAATATCGCAGGAGAAGTTTGCAACTAACTGGAGAGCAAATAATTTCGTTAGTAATTTGTTTGTTTCACAATTTTTTAATGAATAAATTGGTACCGTGTTTTGAGCGTTTTTGTATAAAAATTGGTATTAAGATTTTGAGTAATGTTCTTCCTTTTTTCTAGATCTGACCCTGCAGGCATAGGCCATATCAATAGTATTATTATATGAAGTATAGTGCTTTATAGAGATGGCGAGCACTGATAAAAGTGATAATCTTACATGGAAGATTATTTATGATAATCTCACAATCATGTGAAAATTATCGCTTTTCAATTATCGCCGCGCTTTTCTGTAAAAATTATCATAGGCGTGTCATCTATATATTATTATCGTATTATCATTATTATCGTATTATCGTATTATCATTATTATCGTATTATCATTATTATTATTATCATTATCGTATTATCTTCCCCCTGTCTCGTGATAGGGGGGAAGGGGGGAGCAACTAACTGCCCCCCCCCCCCATTTAAAAAAAACATGGAAATTCGGGAAAATGCTAGCAAAAATCAAGAAAATTCGGGCAGATTTATCAGAAAATATGTTAATTAAATCAGGTTATTTCATTTCAATTCATCATAAAAATTCGGCCAAACTTTCAACTCCCCCCCCCGGAAAACATCAGTCCCGTTCTCCTATGAAAATTATCGCTTTTCAAAGACTGTCCTTTATATAAGAAACAGAAAAATACATGGGTGCTTGGAATTACCAGATTTATTTCCTGTGTGATGTTTCAGTACAGCCAATGGATTGCAATAATTTGCAAAATAGTTATGTTCTTAGAATTTTATGTTTTTGGGGAGCGGGTGAGTGGTTGGGTGCGCAGGGGGGGGGATGGTACGAAACATTTCATCTCCTTTAATGGGTGTATTAAATACTTTCCGATGCTTTTTTTTTGGGGGGGGGGGTGCCAAATTTTATGGTAGAATTTTGGAATACCCTCCACCCCCCCCAGTGCTCATACTTTATGACCGGTCCCTTAAAAGAGTTTTTGTGGATGAAATTTCGAGTGGAAGATTTATAATTAGGGAGTGTTCATTATTTATACCCGGGGTTGGTACCGAAGAGAAATGGGTTGGGTAAGCCATTTTTCTTGGGTATGAAGGGTTGGGTAAATAGTTTTTGAACAAAGCCTATGGTTGGGTAAATTATTTTCAATACAAACATTCAATTGAACAAAATATGAAAATCCTTTATTTAACAAAATGGGTCATTTCAGGAAATATCCATTCATTCCCCACAAAGAAAACTAAACTCCAGCTCCCCATCCCCTCAGATAACAGCAACGAGATATGGTAGGACTGCAGGAACTTAATTGGAGGCTTGGGCACATAATACGAACTTGTGAAGGTACAAATGATTATATTTGACATTCAGTTAGTGCACCAAATATGCATAGTACTGTTTATACTATAGTGGCCTAGCTTGTATAATAATATATATGTGTATATGTAAAATACTTGTATAATTTTGAAATTGGGTTGGGTAAAATAAAAATCCAAGTCATGCAATAGGGCAATTGATAAAACTAGAATAGTAGTGATGGGCGATACCGAGTACTCGGTATTCGATACCAGCGATACCACAAACAGCGGTATCGGTATCGATTACTGACGTGGTATCGTTCGATACTTGCACCCTTTTTTAAACAACTTGTTTAATTTCACTTCTTGGTTGAATAAGACTTAATGAACCACTAAAATAACCCTTAATATTGCAAATGTGGTGCGCCAAGTCATGTATAGAAAATATTTATTACGTTTCGGGCTTTTGGTTACTTATAGCTTTATTTATTTTACATACAGTAATGTAAAATGTTTTTCTGCTGACCGACAGGTATCGAAAGTAGCCGATACTAGCAATTTAAGTACTCACTTCCGGTATCGAAAATTAAAATTTTGTGTGTATTTTGGTATCGAACTAGGTATCGGTATCGGCCGATACCGATCTTAAAAGTATCGGTATCGGTATCGAATTAAAATTCCTGGTATCGCCCATCACTATAGAATAGTGAAGCGAATAGTGCGAATAGTCGACGAATAGTACGAATAGTCCGCGAATAGTCGACGAATAGTGCGAATAGTCCGCGAATAGTCGACGAATAGTGCGAATAGTCCGCGAATAGTACGAATAGTCCGCGAATAGTCGACGAATAGTACGAATAGTCCACGAATAGGCGACGAATAGTACGAATAGTGCAATAGAGACTTTGCAAGGCTTTGCAGCAGTGCTGTAGAACTAAATTTACCGGGGGGGGGCTCTGTTGACAAACATGAAATCGTGAAAACATTCGTCGACGTACGTCAATGACGTCATACGTCTAGTGATTGTCATCAGTGGCGCCGTGGCCGGGGGGGGGCATGGCCCTCCCCTATTGTTGACACCCGTCATAAAATTGCCAATGCTGCCGGAAATTGTCGGAAAATTGTCAAGGCTGTCGGAAATTGTCAAAGTTGTCGACGGGGGGGGGGAGTGAAGATTTAAAATGTTGTCGTCCGGAAAACTTTTTGGTTTGTCGGAAAAATTTTTCGGTTTGTCGGAAAAGTACTGCCCTTGCCCCCCCCCCAAAAAAAAAACATGGGTCCCACGGCGCCACTGATTGTCATTCTACTTCCTGTTAAATATTTGTTAAAACTCAGTGGTCCCGTAATTTTTACCGATTACGTATGACGTCATTGACATCAACGAATGTTTTCACGATTTCATGTTTGTCAATAGAGCCCCCCCCCCCGCCCCGCTTCGGTAAATTTAGTTCTACAGCACGGTGGAAAGCCTTGCAAAGTCTCTATTGCACTATTCGTCGACTATTCGTACTATTCGCGACTATTCGCGGACTATTCGCACTATTCGTCGACTATTCGCGGACTATTCGTACTATTCGTCGACTATTCGCGGACTATTCGCACTATTCGTCGACTATTCGCGGACTATTCGCACTATTCGTCGACTATTCGCACTATTCGCTTCACTATTCTAGTTTTATCAATTGCCCATGCAATAGTTGGGTAGGGAAAAAATGGTTGATCGAAAGGGTGGGTGGTTGTTTTTTTCTCTTTTCGATTAGTTTCTCTTCGGTACCAACCCCAGGTATAAATAATGAACACTCCCTTATATACAATTTTAGATACAACATATAAAAATAATAAAATACAACCATAGGTAAGAATTATCTAACCCGGTGCAGCGCTCTATATAACCAACTGAGCTACAGAGTCCAGTTGTTGCGCTCTAACCACAGGTTTATGTAATACTATATACAGTATACAAGAACGTCTACATGGTTAGAGCTCGACTACTACTGTTCTCAAAGATTTACTCAATATTCACGTCTGAAATGTTTATACATTTGAAAACAACATTGTCACTCCTTCCTAGCATATCGTCACGCCATCGTGATGTACGGCTTGATAGCGCATGCGCATTTGCGCTGCTAAAGAAAAATAGGGTGTTTCGTGGCAAAGACCCTTAACACAGCATGAGAAGCGAATGTTATAAAATTTACAAAAAATGACAATAACGAAAATTAGACGATTCCTCGAAAATTTTGTGAATTTGGCAAAAGGATAAAAGAATATTTAAATAAGACAACTGAAATTGCCTATAACCTTCAAAGCACTAAGTACAATAAATCACTACGAACATAAATCGTATACACCCCCCCCCCGGAAAGATTACTGTATGGCTGAATGAATGAATGAATGAATGAATGAATGACTGATTCGTTTGAATTTTCGCCACTCATCACATTATTCACACTAAAAACCCCTAAGGACAAAGCTTATCGAGAAGTGAGCAATTGTCCAACCTTAGGTTTACATCGCACCCTGCACACATGCCAATACTTTGGAATATGAAAGGGGTGGTGAATTTGCTATCGATTTTCAAGATGCACGTGGTCAATGGGGTAATTGCACGACAACTACGTTTTGGGGTAATTGCACGACAACAACTGCCACCACGTTATGATCATTTTGTTGCTGCAAATCTCAGTTTTTGTTGCATGCCATATATGGCATGCAACTATCATATAGCGTAAAATTCGTGTCCGTTGGTGAAATTTGTGGCAGATCACGTGGAACCTGTCGAGGTAATGCGTCAAATACCGAGTTATACCAACGAGCATTTACGAGCATAAATTGATAAATATGAATTTTGAATCATGGCAAAGAAAATGTTGATTGTTCGCCGAAAATTTACATATAAATCGAGCGCCTTAAGAAAAATAGATCGAGGTAGGTAAAGCTTTGCTGTTTTTTATTCACCTTATATTCTGTTATTTGTTGTGATTTTGGAGCCGTTGTGCTTTATATTTATCAGCCAGGCGTTTTATATTTATTATATATAGCGTGGCCTTTCACGCTATATATAATAAATACTCAATTTTATACTCAAACTGAAACGGAGTCACTGTGCTCGCACTGATTATATTGTGTACAGAACTTCAAAACTACAGTACATTTTGTAAATAACATGAAATATAAATATCAAACAAAATTCTCATTTATACTATTGAAATTTAATACAACGAAATAGCAATCTACTTTGTAATTTCAATCATTGTTTAATAATCAATTTCAATCTATATAGTAATTCACCGTTTCCAGGGGTTTTTATACCTTCAAAAAGTTACAAATAAAGCTAAATTTGTAGGAAATAATATTTAGTCATAAATTTGTAAAGGAAATCTTTATACAGTCGACGTTTTCGGTAAAACCTTGACCTTGTTATTAGCGTCGCTTGCAACTAACGATGAACGGTCGCTCTTAAAAGCATTACGTATTCGCATGAGAATCTTAAGTTTTCTTATTTTGACATAATACGATAATAGCTATTTTCAATAAATATATCGATGTTAAACTTATTGAATCAATATTTTAACTCCAGGCCAGTTGTACCAAAAGTTATAAGCGCTAGCGCATTATAAAGTTTCAGATGGCATGTAACATGTACGCACTGCGTACCTGTTGTTTAAATTGTTTGCCTTAAATATCAAAAACACTTCGCCAATTTGTAGCCTAGAAATCCTTCCATGGTCGTGAAATTGTTGTTTGAGCTTCGTTACACCGTCATTTACCCACCATTGAAAGGCTTTCGGAAATTATAAGGGGGAGGTTCAGGTTGCCCCCCCCCCCCCAAGTCCCCTATTATTCACAAATGTTCCATAGTGTAATACCTATAACTTAATTTCAGTCTTTCCTAAAAAGTGTTTATTTCATTCACATGCACGTATCACGAGCGTAGTTTTTGTAGTTGTGCTTCTATATCTTTCAAATCTTCGTCCTCTTTCGATGCCGTGGCTCCCCGTGGCGCCGAAGGAAGCTGAAATATAAAATCAGAGACAACGTAAAATATAACATTTGAAGGTGGTAAATTGGAGCTCATTGAATCGCTTCTTGCAGAACTTATTTTGTGGGATTCAATTTGAAAATACTGTAACTATGTACACACGGCACTCCTTCTTGAAATGAATAAACAATATTCCTACAACAATAAACTAACTTATACTGGGTGGTGCTATCAGTTCTAAACTCAAGTATTACTTGAATAGGAAATTTGAAAACCATATAAAGAGATCGGTTATTATTGATGGCGGGGCGGGGCACCGAAGAGAAAAGGTTGGGTAAACCGTAAAAAATCCATAGTGAGTAAAAGGTTGGGTAAATCAAAAGCAGAACTTAGGGGTTAGGTAATAAAAATGTATTGTCATTTCCAAAGCAGGACTCGCTCAAATACTGACGACTAAAAAGCAATGTCGACAGTCATTACCAAATAACTTTAGAACGTGCAGACAACATGAAACTTTACACTGCATGAAATTGCATAGCAGTAATTAAACTCATGTCACAGAAGTGGTAGACATGTGTGACAACTGAATGACTTGAATGGCATCTTTTTGTAACGATTTTGGCCAGGGGTGGGTGTTTATTTTCTAATTGATATTTGGGGTTGGGTAATTTTTTTTACATTTTAATGGTGATCGAACCCGCAAAATTTTTACCAAGAAAAACATTTCTCTTCGGTTCCACCCCCGCAATAATTAGGGACTTTAGCTAGCAGGACGGCGACGGCTATTAATACAATGAAATTTATGACAGTGTAGAAAGAAAATGCATAATTAAAGGTCCCTTGGGAGTTTTAGACGTCGTCCTTCTCTGTTTACAACAGCAAACCAAAGATTTTCACGTTTTGTATACAACGTCTGCCTTTCAAGCCGCGAGAAGTCGTCCGCGCCAAATTGGCTTAGTATAGAGACAGTAGAAGTTTTCTCAACTATAAACCTCTGTCTTAACCTTCTAAATTGCGATATATTCATACAACGGATAATACAAGACATGTTGATCTTAGAGTTACTTATTTGAACCAGTTTGTTTTGGTCGTCGTCGTCGCGTTGCCGTCGCCTATTTGCTACAGGTCCCTAATAACGACCAGTTCCCAAGCTTCATTTATACTTCGAAGTCATTAGCATTCTTCTTTAAGGATTCTAGATCCCTTCACACAAATGTTCATCTATCTTAAAATCTCAAAAGATAAATGTGTTCTAAGCCATGAAATGACTGCGTGGTAAGGTTCCCCGTCCCTTTCGTGGGAACTATCAGCAAGGTGCTTCAGAAACATTTGGCATTCTACTCCCGCATCATCGTACGTTGGTACCAAGAACCAATGGCATGAACCAATGGCATTTCAAAATCTAGCACTCGCTATTGATATTTTCTATTCTTCTCGTTCTTGTGCTCTTTAAAGATAGTAGTCGTAGGTTTGTTCAAGACTGTTCTGGTTACACTTGGAGTTGACGTGTGTTTCACTCCTCCATGGCAGAAGCCTCCTGCCTTTATGTCCAGTCCTCCGGACTAGTGATAGCAGATCTGTGGCGGAATTGTTCGTTACCCAGAGGTTGAAGACGAGGTTCTGATTCCACATTCTTGCACACCTTGCTAGTAAGCAAAGTTAGACAGCGAGCGAGCCGCGTACCTATACATACGTACATACGTGAAGTCGAGTAAGTGGTTTCTTACTCAGAATGCATAGCCATACGTACCTTGCTAGTCATATCAATTCCTATTTCATCCAGTACTTGTGTGACAATTGCGTCTTGTTCCTCTTCATCATCAGATGCATCAAACACCGAATCTAGGGTTTCATTCACTAAACAAAACAGTTTTTTTATAAGCACCTCATAAAAGGAAAGTTCCACCTTAAATATATGAGCATAAGATCTAAACAAATGATTCCCTGATAATCACACCTAAACCACTCAATATACCTATATATGGTAGTTTGCTAAATGTTGTGTGACGAATGGAATCACTCATGCTTAAATGAATCACTTAACCTCCAATGGATGCAAAATACCCAATTGCAAGATTAACATGTGAACGATGTTAACAAATGGGCTATATAGAATGGTGTGGCCTGCGACCTTATCAGACCTCAACTCACCTGAGCATTTCTGCTATCGTTCAATCACAGAATACAGCACTATGGCTGACTTAGTTAAAATTGTGGCAGAATGAATGGATAATTATACCTCAGCGGCAAGTGAGCTGACACCATAAGGCGTCGATGCTTGGAGACGCGTGGTGCAGGTTACTAAATCATTGATTAAACATTACCGTTGTGTGCCATTTCAATAAAACCATTGATTCTTGTTAATTTCGCAATTGGGTATTTTTGTATTGAATGGAGGTTAAGTCATTCTTTCAAGTATGAGTGACCCCATTCTTCACATAAATTAATTATTAATTGTTCTTCACACAAATTAATTATAGTGGTAGGTGTGATCATCAGGCATTCGTGTGTTTAGAACTTATGCTGATATATTTAGGGAGGAACTTTTTGCGGTACTTTTATATATTCAAACTCTACATATAGACAGGCACTGATAAAATCGACATTGACAGTCTACAAAGAAGTACTCTGCTTGGAAGAACAGATATCAAGTCAAGATAAAAAGATTCAGACATTTATCAAGTTTTTTTGGACAATTGGTTTTCTTTTTCATACATGTTTTGAAAATTAGCACAATGTATTTCAGCTGGTCATGTTAGCCTGTACTGCAATGCATCTAAAACTGAGTGTATATCTGCCCGTAATTACCACCTGCATGGGAATGATATTATTGAGAGGTCTGTACCGGGTTTCGAAATCCCGCCATCCCGACCAATTTTCAGTTAAAATACCGTTATCCCGCCATGCCTCATCCCAACTTCCCATTCCCGCCTTCTTTTTTCTGAGACTGCCCAAATTAAGTAGTCATGATTTGGAAGTAGACAATGGATAGCGAGATTTTCAAACGTGTTAACATCGAAGAATACAATATCATGTAGTCTAAAAACAAAAACTGCTTCTAAATCTTATTAAACCGCAATCAATGTAATCATACATGTAGATGAGGGATAATGACATTGATGACAGTTTAGTTGAGCATGGATCCATCATTTTTATGTCGAATTTCTCGACTGTGGTTTCTATATTTGCTTGTATCTACTTGCATAACCTTTCTCTGTTTTTTTTAATTTTGTTTGCATATTTTGGCGCATTTCAACAGTATATATGGCTCCATCTTACAGCAACTGAACAACAACAATAGGTTGCAATAGGATACACTAGGGATAGACTAGGATACTGGTAGACACTAATAGGTACATTAAACGATAACGAGAATCAAGGGGGATACAGTATGTGAAGCAATAAAAGGATAATTTTAATATAGAAAGAATGAAACTTTAAAACAATTGACAATAAATTAAACTGAAATTCGGCTGCAAGTTTTGTTGATATATCAATGATATATATATATATCCCGCATCCCACTCAATCATAGGTTACTTTCCCGCACCTCACCTTGATTTTTTTGTTAGTCCCGCTTCCCGCGATGACATTAAATCCCGTTTCCCGACGAATCTTCTTCTTAAAATCCCGAATACGCTCGAAATTATGGCCCATCCCGCAAAACCGGTACAGGCCCCTCATTATTACACGTCAATGTTTACACTTACTCATTTCCTCAGACATATCCATTTTCATTGATTCCTTTTCAAAGTTTTGTAAAGTTCTTTGTATATCTTGAGGATTCATTTGCTTGTTTACTGCTCCCATGGTCTAAAATGATCAAAATATAAAACCTAATTTAATATGTTGGACACCGTCATTAGTTTTAAATTGCTCTCTTCAGAGATCCAGTAATTAAGAGTCACTCTCTAGTGGTACGGTGTTACTAGAAACAAGAAAAGTTTTTTAATGTAAAAACTGAACCTTTACCATTATTGGTTATTATAACTTTACCATATGGTAAATTAGTAAAAAACCACGATGCTTAAAGACAATGGAAACTCCGTTTTGCGGATACGTTCTGCACAGGCCTACATTCCAATGGTCGGGACCCGACCAACTTCCAACTTGACAATTGTTTGTTTTATGTCTTTCATACTGAACGTCAGAAAAAGTTTTGAGTCGTCGAAGTAGGAGTTGATATTGCTTGATAGTGGGATCGCTGGAATGTCATTTGTATAAATACAAAACAATAATGGTGATAGGATGGTGCCCTGTGGCACGCCATGAGACAGTGGAAGGACGGATGATACTGTGGATCCAATACGTACACATTGTCTTCTACCTGACAAATAGCTCTTAAACCATCCAACAGCTTGCGAAGAAGCGCCGACTAGTAATTCTTTCGCCTTTATTTTCTTAAAAAGCTTTTGAAATTCACAAAATCTTGCAAAAATTAAATATATTTGCAAGAAATCATCATTCATCAATCATCAAATCAAGAAATGTTTCCTATTTCGCTGTCGTCAAGCAGTCGTTATAATGTAAACTTTAAATTTGACCAATCAGTGTCCGCTATTCATAACAGTCCGCCATATTTTTGAGTTCAGCGAGGATGACCACCCACCGAAAATTCGTTGGTGACCCACGCCCGAGATCATTGATGAAATTTAGACTTCGCTTTAGAATGCTTTCGTTTCCCCAGGTGTAAATAGCCGGGCGGAATTAGCACCCTCGCTCGGGGATAACAGCCGGAGTTGCAACAGTCAACAACTAGACCAAATAGCTTGAAAATCAAAGGCCGGTTATTTTCAAGAAGGCAAACTCGTAAATATCCAAAGCTATTGGGAGACCATGCACTGGAGACATTTAGCATCATGGTGTTTGAAATTTTGTAATATCCAGTGGGGATCAAGTCATTCACAGTTTGGTAATTGGTACTATCGATATCCAAAACCAAATTTTAGTATCCTGTGGATATCGGGATACTGCAAATTTCAGACCCTGAATTTAAAGACCTTCACCTTAGTTGCAGTTGCCATTGAGCTGGCCATCTTTGCAGTTGATTGCATGGCTTGCATTTGATGTCCCATGCCCATCACTTTTGAACTAGTATTCATACTTCTTGCTTTTTGTTTCCTGAGTTGGAGCAATTGTTTTGCCAATACTGTACATGCCTGCCATAACAAGAAAACATGAAATAAGATGCAGTATACAGTCTGTATATCTGGGAATCGAACCTACGACCTTTGGAATACTAGCCCAATGCTCTGCCAACTGAGCTACGCGGTCAGGTCAGTTCGAGTATGTGATATTTCGGACCTGAGTCTAGTTCCTTTGTTATCAATGTAATCTACCAATCATGGTATTTACACTCACAAGAAACATCACAAGCATCTTATTCACCTGAGTACATTACACCAACACAGAAAATGTCTGTTCGTATACTGTACTTTTGTATTCAAATGACAAACTTTAGAAACCAAGTGATATATATGACAACTACATATTATATAAATACCAAGTGTTTTAAAGTTCATGTTTTAATGCACGTCACTGGACGAGAGCTTATCATGTGAAATTCACAAAATTCATTGCCCTGAGTGGTGGACAATACTTTTACTCACAGGTGAATAATTATCACTTATTTACGGTCTTGGATGCACAAAACACACTGTTTCCCTCGGTCTCAGTAAATAAGTAAATAGAATAGAATAGAAACTTTATTTCACGAGGGAAAACGTATTAACCGTAAAAGTTATCAAACATACGGCCCTCGCAGTATTTTGATATTTACAGGCATAAAGTTTTGTTATATAGTATATACATATCTCAAACTCATGCATTAATAATTCATGACTAAATTAGCCAACCATATTACTTTATTTTGCTCACATGATAATACTGGATATCTAATGAAGTACATATCGATCCAGTCCTAGGACTGGATCAAAACTAATTCAGTCCTTGGACTGGATCAAAATGAATTAAATAGTAATTTATTCGTATGAGATTTCATTTCAAATCCTCCAATTTGGACTGGACTAGATTTCAAGTCCTCACATTTTGATCCAGTCCTCGGCTTCGCCTCGGACTTGATCAAATTGCGTGGACTTGAAATCTAGTCCAGTCCTCATAGTCGGATTTGAAATATTACTTCAAAGTATGAATAATTCAGCGGTTATTCGAGTGAACTTAATTTAAAACCAAAAATGGAACGCCGTAAATGTTTAATAAAAAGTTTAAAAAATTAATTTTAGAACTTCATGGTTGACGCGCATGTGAATGGCACACATTATATTACATTGTTGATGGGTTGCCTCCATACGCAGGCGTTTTGTGGACCGGCGCGTGATATGGTTTTGAGCAATCGGCAAAGATCTTGTCTAAAAGTACACACGAGTGACCACGAGTGACCACGAGTGACCACGAATGACCACGAGTGACCACGAGTGACCACGAATGATCACGAGTGACCACGAGTGATTTCTGTGTTTAAAAGTCCTAAAATGATTTATGATTTAATGATTTAATGATTTAATAATGTTCGACAACTACTAAATTTAAATTTTAACAATGTAGTGCCAGGATACTCGCCACAGTGTCCCCAATTACGGCGAGTCCCAAATAATTATTGTCCCAAATAATAATAAAAAACTATTTTTAGGTGGCTCCATAGGATTTTTGCATTATACTACACTTTTGTATCCAGAAAACGCCTGTTTCTTCACTTTACATGACACGAAGACGAAATTTATTGGACACATTGACAATGCTCTCCTGAACATTGCAATGCGCTACTTTTGCGCAGAAAGTCTGTTACCATGGAAACAGTGTGCTTAGGATAAGGCTCAAAATTTGTCTTTTTTTGGCCATTTTAAAAATCCTTTCTGGAAATTTTTTTTAGTTTTTCGACTATTGTACACGTCAGTCTACAGGAACATAGCAAAGCATCTGAAGTTGGGGGGGGGTTGTCAGAGGATTTTACCTGTAATTTGAATTTTTAATTAATAAATATTTACCTAAAGTGTAATAATTATAATAAAGCTTCTTGTGATAATGACTTGCACCGTCGTACTAAGTTTCGGGAGAAAACGGGGGTTTGGGGTACTCCCCCCAAAATTGTTCCATTTTTGAAGCTCTAGGACTGCAATTCTAGGACTGCAATTCTTACAAAAATGGTTATCATTTCACACAAATAATTACTTTATTACGCAAATTTTACCTGAAAATATCAAAATTTGTGTGTGTGGGGGGGTGGGGGGGTTTGGTTAGACGTCACATCTCGCAAAAAATGCCAAAATTAAACCTTAATTTCACCCTTTTCCTTCGGTAAATTGTTTTAAAACTTTGCACATTTCTTAATATCGGCTAAACAAGCTCAATATCCTTTTTTCTTAAAATTTTATTGAAGGAAATAATCTAAGAAACGTTCCATAAAATTTTTTAAAATTGAAGAAAAAAATCATTATACGACGACTGATCCTTTGTGCAAATTTTAAAATTTTTAAAACGACCGGAAAAAGACAAAATTTGAGCTTAATTATCCAAAGCACGCTGTCACCATGGTAACGAACTTTCTGCGCAAACGTAGCACATTGCAATATTCAGGAGAGCATTGTCAATGTGTCCAATAAATTTCGTCTTTGTGTGATGTAAAGTGAAGAAACAGGCGTTTTCTGGATACAAAAGTGTAGTATAATGCAAAAACCCTATGGAGCCACCTTAAAATGCTTTTTTATTATTATTTTATGACTTTTAAACACATAAATCACTCGTGGTCATTCGTGGTCACTCGTGGTCATCCGTGGTCACTCGTGGTCACTCGTGTGTACTTTTAGACAAGACCATCGGCAAACGGAAAAATTAAACTTTGACACTAATTATATAACAATTGAAGTTGTAACGCAAAAATTGTTTCCTGTTTATCTTAGATAACATTCTTTGACACTTGAAATATAATAAAAAGTGACTTACAGTAACATGTTCACTAGCAAAAAACTACTCACCTATTTCACTATTAAAATTAATTTATAAAATTAATTTATCTGGCATGGTGTCCGCAACAGTGGTTAGCCAATTTCTGGGGCCACAAGTTATCGGCAAAGGTTACACATAGAAATACACACTAGTTACTATTGGTGTTACAAAGTTACTTAGTTTCAATTTTTTGCAACTTGCTTAAAGTTGAAATATGTTATTTCTAAATGTAAAACAACACGGCAGAAAACAAAAAATCAGAAAAAATCAAAAAACAGAAATAAACGAAAAAAATAAAAAAACGAGCTCTTTGAATAACGCTTCGTGAGTTATCTTATATGAAGAGGTTTTGGTGGAATGTAATCTCAAAACTCTAGAAGGTCGTAGTTAGAATTAAGATATGTGTATTAATCGTATTTTAAAAGTCATTACTTGACCCTGCGTGGTCATGGCCAAAGTTTGAGAAATTAGGAAATTAAATAGAGAAACAAGATTAAGGTGGCTCGATATAGTTATCACAAAAACTCTGCTCAAGAATCGCGAACTTAAAACCGGGTAACAATTTTTACGCGCAGGTCGCGGAAACTGATTAACAAAATGAAAGAACTTCCAAAATGACTTGACGTGAGCAGTTGCTCGCGCCATATCATGCCATTGCGCGTGTTCTATAGCGTTTTATATCAATTGCTGACGTCATTAGAATTTTCCATCTTAGAAAAACAATGCGCTATATCTCTTTATTTTGCCTGGTGACCTATGTTCAAATTTTGCATGCAGTATTGCATCGCTAAAAACTTTCATCATACAAAAAATAAAAAAATTCTGTAATGCCAAAAAAAAATTACAGAAGAATATGACATTTTCGCATTTTCCAAAAAAATGGCATTACAGAATTTTTTTATGTTTTGCTAATTGTTAGCTTTTCGTCTAAGTAAAATAATGCAAGAAAAAAAATTGGGGGTCACCAAGCTTTTTTCCCAACTATACGAGAATAGAGGCCATTTTGGAGTGAATTTCGTACACGTATGTCGTCATAGCAACGAACTATCTGTTACTATAACTAATATAATTTGAAAGTAGAGATATCAAAATATATAAAAAACCTAACATCTGCCGAATAAATCCTAAAAATGCGTAGTTTGAACATGTCAAAGTGTTAAACACCTGAATTTCTGAAAACTGTATCGAGCCACCTTAAGGGAATAATGTTTTATAATTTTAACTGTCAGAATAATTAGTGCAATTGTTACGAGGCTTTATTTATAGGTAGTGAATCGTTACAACCAATCTTAAATAATTATCAGTTCTTAATATAATGTTCGTCTTCTCGTAGTAGTTTCCTAAAGTTCACTTCATTTCACTTTGCTCATCAGTCTTCACTTTACTTCACTTTACTGATCAGTCCACTGAGAATCCACTGAGGAATCATCCATGCACTGAGAATTCATCCACTGAGAATCCACTGAGATCATACACTGACGAATTTGGGTTGTGCACGCCCTTTTATACTAACGGTTGTGGGATCTTTGTACACGTGATGTAGCAAGTGGTGTGATTTGTATCGCTGTTCAATCGATCATCATTAAAACATGTTCACAACTTAAAATACTCATCAAAATATCATAGTAAAAACTTCAAACTATATCTATGTGAACCTTACTTTACCTACTAAACTAAATTTACTTACAATTTTATTGAACCAAGATTTTGATGACGTAATGTTATCATTACTCAACCGCGCGAAATATACCTAAGAATGATTGACGGAAAGGCCCTAAGCATGCACATTTTCATGTCAGAGAAGAACCAGCCTTGGACTTTGAATTATGTAAACACAACAGCCCACCATGCAAGGTTATCGTCCAACTTTGACAAATTGACAAATCATTTATCTTGCCTAATGGATAGATAATTGACACTTTTACACAAGTCCGAAATGAGATATATTTTATCTGAGTTTTACAACAAAAATGCTCATTATCTCTCCATTTGACGTAACTAGTATCTATAATTACCTGGGGTGCAAATTGAACTATTTTTATACTATTTTGATTTAACCTTTTGATTTAACCTATTTTGATTAAACCTTTATTTAAAATTATTTGTCTTAAAGTGCACCTAACCTCGACTCTTTATATAATCATTTCATTCTTAAGAACTACTGAAATGATTATATATAAATGAGTAATTCCATGCCATTTCAACACAGGCATGACACCCACCCTCTCCAAATTTCTTTATATTTTGCAGGCAGTTAACACTTTGTGGGAATAGTTTAAGTTCAAAATTTGAGCATCGTAGCTGCAATAGTTTTTGAGATATCGCAATTCGAAATATGGCCCGAAAAGCAAAAAAGTGGGCGTGCCCAGTGCTAAATTCATCATTACCCTATTTTACATTTTGACCTGTAACTTCATACCCATACATGGTATATCCATCAAAATTTGCACAAATATGTATTTGTATGTGGAGATTTCAAATATTGCACTTTCATCTTTGTATCTGCAACCAGTAATGTGTTATGGCACAGCGAAGAGTCTAATTATGTGTTTCTGAAGACACCAAATATACATCATCTTTATTGGAAAAATTTTTATGGAAGCCATACAGACACAACAGTCATTTTTATTCCACATCATATCCACATGCTATTCTACTTTTAAGCAAAATTTGGTGATGGTTAGTTGCCTGCTTTAAAGAGTAGAGCCCTTTAAAGTTGTCGTATTTTTTAAATAACTTTATTAGTACGTTTTGGATGTTTGTTAAGAATAAAATACATTCATTGAGAAATGAGACTGCCAAATAGCTTAATGTTTGATTCTATCATTCTTTTTTAATAGTACATTATGTTCTCCAAGAGTAACTGTTATTTCTTGTATCAAATTGCCTTTGATCAAAATCGATGCTGTATATATAGAGATCACTACTGTTTATCCATGAATGTGCGTAAGACTTGTTGGTCTTTAGGCTGCAGTTTGTACTGCCTCCCAGTGACTATTGTTCGGAACACCAATGTTAGAAATAATGTTCTCATCCGAAACCCAACAAGTATTAGTGATTGACCAATTATTATCAATTATTCATCCAGTAATCTACCCGATTCTGATTTTCTATGACGTCATAATCCATTTCGAGATTTTAATGATAATTTCGAACGTAACATGTTACTAGTAGCAACCAAAGTTTGTTAAACGTGTACATAAATGACACGCTTCACGTATTATTTCGTCGCGGCAACGGTTTGCTCCACACCTACTATGCAACACGCTACCGTTCGCGCAAGAGATTAAACAGTTGTTGTTTTCACATAATAAAGTGCATTCAACGTGTATCACCGCGCAATATATATGATTTTTAAAGTGCGTATTTTCTCAACAATCGGTTTACACAATCGGAAAATACAAATTATTCTACAGATTCCGATTGTCTACCGATAAGCAAAAATCGGGGATTCCGATTATATATTTTTTTATTAAAAACATCTTGTAACACGATAGCTAATCAACTAAAAAAATATTAGCAAGGTTGTCGTTACTTTTCACTAGGCCGTGTACTTACAGACAGTATAAGAGATTCCCATGCACCCACCCTCTCCCCGAATCACCCAAATAATATTAGAAAGACATTCAAAGTTTATTATTCACTCCAACCCAACCCAGATAAAATTATATAAAAATTTTATTTCTTTCATTCAAACTTTAGCGGCAGCATAACCGAAAGTTCGTTTCATTGAATTTGTTTTTGGCTTCAACAACATCAACTTATTTTTGTTATTTTTTAATTCATATCAATCTGAATTATATAGTTTAAACATGTCATGTAAGTGCTTTTGATACATATTTTAGTTGTTGCTCCGTCCTTCTTTCACCTAACGTTTTCCAATCTAGTTTCTTTTAAATATCTATGGAGCTTATTTCATATGAATCACCCGTAATAACTTTTGCAGCTCAGTTTTGGAGTTTCTGAAGATTGCCTCTTAAAGATTCGCCACAGTTACCCCAAATCATCGAGCAGTAATCAAAGTGTGGTTGGACTAAAGCTCGATAACGATGTTTAAGAGTTTCCGTTGAAACGTATGGCTGACACGAGTACACGACGCAATTATCGGTCAATCGCTAACAAGTATCCTCCTACTGGCCAGAAATATGATCTTGCGATGCACTTTGGGTGCATAAACCTTATTAATTTTTACATTTATTTGATCATTGTCAACTTCTTCAATCAAATCAAGCCATTTTTCATCATCTTACAAGCATACAATAAAAGAGTTCACTGAAAGTACAATTGATTCACGAGCAGGGGTAGATAAGAAATAAATTGTATTGCATACTTTTGATCCACTGATATTCTTTTTGTGTATGTACTATTAATAAATATGTAATTTTTAAACTTTTAAAACATATTTTAAATATGCACTATCAATAAAGAAGGATCGAATGAAACATTAAGGTATTTGGCAGTCCCATTTCTCAATGAATGTATTTATTCTTAACAAAAACCCGAAACGTACTATTAAAGTTATTTAGAAAATACGACAAATTTAAAGGGCTCTACTTTTTAAAGCAGGCAACTAACCATCACCAAATTTTGCTTAAAAGTAGAATAGCATGTGAATATGATGTGGAATAAAAATTACTGTTGTGTCTGTATGGCTTCCATAAAAATTTTTCCAATAAAAATGATGTATATTTCGTGTCTTCAGAAACACATAATTAGACTCTTTGCTGTGCCATAACACATTGCTGGTTGCAGATACAAAGATGAAAGTGCTATATTTGAAATCTCCACATACAAATACATATTTGTGCAAATTTTGATGGATATACCATGTACGGGTATGAAGGTACAGGTCAAAATGTAAAATAGGGTAATGATGAATTTAGCACTGGCCACGCCCACTTTTTTGCTTTTCGGGCCATATTTCGAATTGCGATATCTCAAAAACTATTGCAGCTACGATGCTCAAATTTCGAACTTAAACTATTCCCACACAATGTTAACTGCCTGCGAAATATAAAGAAATTTGGAGAGGGTGGGTGTCAAATCAGTTTTTTTTGTGTTGAAATGGTATGGAATTACTCAAATAACTTATTTTGAAGATTTGTTTTTAAGAAATTTCAGTTTGTTTGCTAACTATGCAAATATCCAGAATTTACGTCACAAATGCACAATGATCTAAAGTAAAAGCTTGTACATTGTATTCACTATCGAGTTTAATTCATTGGAGTTGTGGGAGGATTACATAGTTACCTATGCCTTATACAGTCAAACGCGAAACAAAGCGCGCATGCCAAATGATGATTTTATGCAATAAAAATAATTAACTTCGAGAACGAATTGTGTGCGTGTTGTTTATGTATATATTCAAACATCATTAATAATTCTTATTGGCAAATCATGTCAACCATAATATGTCACGTGCAGTGGCTTTAAAACTGATAAAACACTCCTAATTAGTATTCTTTATATAAAGAATACTAATAACTGCAGTATCTATTGTAGTCGTGTCTCATTAGTATTCCTTATATAACGAATACTAATATGGCAATAAATCTATTGAATTTGTAGTCGTGTTTGAAGCCGTTAATAAACTCGCAGGTCGTGTTTTTTTTTAGGTCTAAAGCCACTCGCGCTGCGCGCTCGTGGCTTTAAACCTAATAAAACACTCCTGCTTAATTATATATTCATATTAGTTATTATGCAGGTTTACCGAGATTATTTAAGCCGTGGAGCTCACAGGTATAGCTCATTGCTTGCAGACCTTCAAGTTCACAACGTCCCCTCCCACCCAGTCCCTTTTTTGGGAGGACATTGTTTGTCCGCACTGGGTTTTTTTGGGGGGCGCAGCTGTATATATGTTATACATGAACTTACGGTTACAGCTCAACAGCTGGCCTCTGTAGCTCAGTTCGTTAGAGCGCTGCACCGGAATCGCAGAGCCGTAGGTTCAATCCCTACCAGAGGACCTTGTGCTGCATTTTTTGCAGTCGTTCCTGGTCAGGTCATAAAATGTATATATTCTTTCTACGTAATAATTGCGTTTTATGTTGTTACGTCTCGTGTTTTTTTGGGGTGCGCTGTCGATTACGCCAATTGTTGTCCTGTTGGATATTTTTTCGTTGTGTTTACTTGCCGCGCCCGCTCGCGGGCATATACCTCCAGCTATTCTGGATGATTATTCCCCTTGTTACTCAAATTAGTTTTAACACTAATCTGCTTTTTGTAGTCACGTACTGCGTTGCAGAGCTTTTCATTCTATTCAGCTATGTTATTGTTATCTTTGCTTTGTCAGGGAGTATTATTTATTGTTTGGTGTTGTATGTTCCGTCACTTGGGTAAGTATTTGTGTGTTTTTTATTCGTCTTTGTATTCCGGTTTCCACTTTGTGTGACAATAGTTCTGTCTTTGGAGAGGTGAATTCTCGTCGTCGGTCGGTAGCTTGAGTACCTACTTGACAGCCAAATCGACTTCAGTTCGTGGTCCGATATCATGTTGTTATTGAAATATGAATGTTGACATTGTATATTGTATGTATTAGATAGCCATATGAAGCTATACTAGTCTTATAGTTATTTGTTAGTTTACGTTACGTTTTCTTGGGACCGCAGTAATTGGCTAACCGATGTTGCGGACACCCTATCAGATAAATTAATTTTATGTTCTAATGCAAGTATTGGCAAATTAAGAAAAGCGACATCTGCCATTTTAATAGTGAGTTACACATTAGCAGTGAGTTCAATAAATTGAATTTCTGTAAAGAATAGGATAACCCAACTGCAAGCCGGAAAAAAAGCATATTCATCCAGGAAAAAGATCCACCACATTAACATGCCGTAATAAAGGTTGATAGCATAAAAAAATTATAGCAAGTCCTATACTTTAACTGAAAATGTAATGAAAAAAGTAAATGCTCGTCAGAAAAGTAGCATATGTTTTTGTTCCATTTCAGGCCAAAATGTAACTAGTTACAGAATATGATACACTACCTACAGTATTTTCAAAATATAACTAGAACTTTACTGTTACAGACAGTTTCCAAAAAAAAAACTAATGATTACTTGTGATTTTGCTGCTTGTAAGTGTACTAAAAGTTACTTACTGTACAACACTGATAATGAAATACTTGACTGGGAGTTATGGTAAACATATGTTTTGTGTTGACAAAAGATACAGTTTCCCTCAGTTCCAGTAACATTACCTACCTGTTTATTTCCCTGTTTAGCCATTTTCTTTATTTCCATTTCCTAAGGAAGTCAAAACATATAGTCAAAGCTACACAGTCAAAGCTACACAGTGTAATTATACAGCACACAAATAAAGGAAACTATATTATTTAAATAAGTTTTAGTCTTCTTAAGCAAACCACTTACCAATTGTTTCTCTTGTCGTTCTAGTGTTGTTTGATCTCTGCCCAGATCTCGTTGAGTCTTGTTCATCGCCCTTTTTTGTTGCCTCATTTGTTCTGAATGTACAAAACAAAGTATTTTAAGCCTGGGTTATACACTGTCAAGTGCATTTTGTTGCATTTTGTTCTCTTGTACAGTAATGTAAAATGTATGAATTTGTAACATTTTAGCAATTAACTAATTTCGCAAGGATAATATACAGACAGTAGCGTGTAAACATGGAGATATATATCTTATACTACAGTAGTAGTGAGTAGTCTATGGCACTGGATTAGTCACCCCAAATGTATTTTATACTAGCTAAGTAAAGGGAATTAAGGTTGTCCTTACAAGACCTTAAATCTTAAACTCTGAGCATGCAAGGGATGATAGGTTTTCACCTATTAGGCCCTTGAACTCATCAGAGAATTGCATTTGCAGCAATTATGTTTTAGGTCGTGAGTCTTCTATATGTCATAGGTATTCTTGCAAAGCCAAAAACTTTCAAAGTTTATGAGTCTAAATAAGCAATAACCCATCATCCTTTGCATGCTCAGAGTTTAAGGTTTACAACTTTGGAAGGACAACCTTAAATCAGATTGATAAAGTTGTTTCGTAGTCGGGTCGGACTTCGATATTCAAAATAAAATGAATTCATTATCCAAAATCATGAACTGAATCATGCACTTTGTCAGCTTCTTGACATGACTATTTCATGCTTTTATATTTATTCGGTTAGGTATTTCCACTTGAATGAGAAATTTATTTTATTTAAGGATTCTTCGGATCGGAATTCTTTATCAAAACTCGGATCGGATTGGATTAGACAATTTTGGATCGGATTGGATTTTAAACAGTAGTAAATTGTCAGATTTTAAATGATCAATCCAATCTGATGCACACCTCTATTGGTAAATGTTATAAAATGTTAAATCATTTTAACTTTCAGCAACTACACCCCAAACGTATCGATTGCATTGCGGTGCAGGCAATGATTCACATGCGATTTATTCTCTCATACTTGCACAGCATTGAAACTTGACCTGTTACCTAGGATTTAATGTTTAACCCATTAAGCTGCAGCACTCCCCTTGACAAGTGAAATTATCTGTCATAATGAGAGTGTAAGAGTAAAGTATGGCATATCAGGATGCATTAATGCAGCTTAAGTGGCAGCGCTCTCCCCTGGCTCCGTAGTCAGGATTAAAGTTACAAAAGTTAGAAACTCTCCAAACAACACAACATATAACTTGATCGAGTCACCTGACAATTGACAAACGGGGTGAATTTTCGCATAAAACACAAGTCAAAATTCATATTTGCCAGGCTGGCTCGTTTAGCAGTCAATATAAACAGTCCCTATACAAAAATACAAAAATGTGTAGTGCTAAAGCTAGGTTAATACCTTTATACATTGTGCTGAAGATGAAGTAAAAGATAATTAGACAATCACATACCTTTGGGATCCGTCTTCTTAAACATATTTACTTTTAAGGCTAAACCACTGAGGGTTACTATAAACACTCTTCAAAAGTATCGCTGAAGGTTTGCAGAATTTAACTTTGTCACGATCACTATTTTAGTTCAATGGTCATGATATAAAATGCAATGATGTATTTGGCTATTTTCGGCTTCTGTGGGCGGCCATATTTGTTTACATCTGTCATTTAACTCAAACTCAGGCTCTTTTGTCGTTTTGCTCGGTTTTCTCGTCTCTGGTAACGGCTGACCGGTCATATATGGCGGAAATTTTGAGTGAGTAAAAGATTAGGTACAACTCAAGGGTTTGGTAATATATAGTTTTACTATGAAATTATTATTACAAATATCTTTATTATTCACACGTAAGTAAAGCCAGTAAGCTGTGACTCGAGTCCGGACTTGAGGGTATGATTAGAACTTGAACACATGCATTGGACTTGGACTCTATATCAAAGAACTCGGACTTGATACCTCTGGACGTGGGAATTTAGGTCAAGTCATGTACGAGTCTACCTCGTTTAATTTAAAATAGTGGCCTCTATTAAACCATTAAAACAGCACAAATTGCTCTGCCACTGTCAGTACGCGTTTCAAGCTTAATTTTCCAAAGATCTTTCTCGCGACAAGGATATATGCCAATAAATCTTGTTGAAGAATGAAAGTAGTGATACATTATAATTTATAATTTGTGTTGCTAATTCAATATACCAGGTTCATTTGGATGACTTTAAGACTCCCCAGACCGCCCCCCTCTCACCACAGCCGCCTACTTTATCAAAACAGACAACTACTCTGAATAATTCCGAAAGCCCTGGTTCTCGTTAATTTAACCTATACTTATAGACAGTTATTAAGCAAAAAGTAAAGATGTAAAGGTTAATAATGACTGCTCATTGCTCAATGATTTGGGAATATTTTGTAGACATCCATATCTTTGGTATATAAACTTTGGCCTTACACAAGTTTTAAAAATTCACATGTTGGTGTATGGTAGCATCCAACCCTAAGTGATATCTCAACTATACTTTTCTAAGAAAAGTTAAAATAATTTAAGATTTTGCAACAAAAGAGCAGGCGTCAACTCTTCAAGTGGCCATCAGGCCGGGTTTTTCATCATATGATCGTAGTACCATCCAACTGATGTGGCTGTTTCTGTAGCCCCAGCGGCTTAACGCTTGCATAAAGCGTCTTGCAGATATTTGAGGTTGGGTAAAAAATGGTTGGATCAGCAATTATTTTCCAAGAGAAACATTTCTTTTCAGTATCACCCCCACCGCAAATAATGACCGATCCCTAAGTCCCCCTCTCTCCCGCATAAACGACTCGGCCATTAAACATGCTTGAAGTAAGTAAGTCCGGCTAAAGTACGTCCTATTATATAGAATATGTAAAACAGAATCGAATAGAGATCTATTCTGTGACTGTGATATAAAATACATCTGCGTTTTTGGACGAGATCAATATGTCTATATTTCTCTTTCAACGTAGTCTTATTGTTACTAAAAATCTAAAGCCTGAGTTAAAACATTAAAATCCTACAATTTTCAAATAAAAATTGGCGATCTAAATAAATTTCAGCCTTGTTGTCAGTAATTCGCCATGTTTTGACGACATCATCATAACAATAAGACGGATTACTGACGAGGCTTTGACAACAGCGAAATTTATTTAGATCGCCAATTTTTATTTGAAAATAGTAGGCCTTTAATGTTTTAACTCAGGTTTTAGATTTTTAGTAACAATAAGATGGTGTTGAAAGAGAAATATAGACACTGTTGTCCAAAAGCAAAAAATTTATCGAACTCTTTCCTCCTTCAACTAAGTCTAGTGGCCTAGCCAGCCCAACAATTCAGTCCCGCTATGCACATATTGCCATGTTTATAGACTATCAACACAATTAGAATGCCGTTGTTAGGGTTTGTAATCCAAGTGAGTATATATACATTTTAAGACCTGACCAGGAACGACTGCGAAAAATGCAGCACAAGGTCCTCTGGTAGGAATTGAACCTACGGCCCTGCGATTCCAGATCATTGATATCAACACAATCAATTTGTAAAGAAGTGAGTAATGATTGATAATGGTTGAAATTTGCATAGCGGGACCAAATCGTCGGGCTGAATACGCCACCGAGCCTATAGCCGGTTTTCCACGTGCGAATTTTTTTCTCGACAAGCGTGTTTCTTCGTGCGAAAATTGTCGCGCGAAAGGTGGTTTGATTTCCACGAAAAAAATAGAGGAATAGGAGAATCGCGCCAAATATCAAATTCAAAACAAAATGGCATGGAATCGTAGCTATAATAACCTATTAAGATTATCAACGACGCCAAAAACGACGTTTAAAGTACAAGAAACGATTTTGGATTCGCCGTATTGCAGAAAGGCAAAAAAAGGAGAGATTCATCTATATTTTCTTACTTCTTCTAGGAAGACTTCCATATCAAAATTAAACGACTGTTGAGGATTTGAAGCCTCATTTGTACATGTTTCGGGAGCAATATCAACGTTTAAAACGCCGCAAACATCCCCCATTTTCACACACTCCCTGCTGAGTATCCCGCCATTTTGAAAGATGATGACAGACGAGATAAAAATTCTGAAATCTGATTGGCTAGAGATATAATAGACCTTATGCATAATGACGTCACAAGGCTTGATGCCCGCGAGAATGCTGGTCTTAGTAGTCATCGCCCGGGAAAATTAAATAATTCAAAATGGCCACTATCGAAATTTTCCCGGGCGATGACTACCAAGACCAGTATTCCTTGCGGGCATCAAGCCTTGTGACGTCATTATGGATAAGGTCTATTCGCCGCGAAAAAGTAGAAACCATTCGAAATCCCATTCTCGCCGCAGCGAACGGCTGGCGAATTTTCGCACCATATAACACTTACGTAATTGACAAAACACGCATGCGCAACGGCGAAAGAACACGCTTCGCGAGAAAAAATTCGCACGTGGCCATGGAGAACCGGCTTAAGAGACTTTCATATATCATATAAAATACATCGTACAAAATATCGATAGTCTTCAAAGCGTGGTAAGACGAAACTAGCACACTTCTTGTCTTTATCCAAATATGAACCAAATATAAACATCTATCTACAGTATTCGTCTTCGAGAGTTGTGTATATGTATACGGTATTTCAGCGTTCATCTGAATCTTATCTGTTCGCATACGTGGTTATAGCGGCTAAAAAATAAAATGATATCATTAAGTCGGAACTACGCCTTTAATATATTGTGATGTCTGCTATACATTACGTTACTATACGTTAAGAATTTAACGATATGACCATATGGGTAATGATATTTCGAGTAATCCGATCATGTCAGTAGTATTACACTACAACAAGATCGGGATAGCCTGGTTAGTTGGGCGATTTACTGGCAACCGGATTTCCATCCTTCAAAGTGAGAAGGCCGTTGTTTTCCACTAGGCGGAATTTTCGGCGCGGAGCGGAATTTCTCGTTGTCTTTTCTCATCACAAGACAAAGAAAAATTTCACTTTTAAAAAAGTTTAAAAATCCCAGTCGTCCATATATGCCTTCTCCATTCGATGAAATACAGTTGCAGTTTTCTATTATTTGCCAGTTGTATTTTTAACTATGTCTATGTAGAAATTGATATAAACCAAGTCTATATAAGGTTTTCTGGTTTTGAATATTTATTCGTTTGTGCATCTAAACTTTATATGTGTTTTTCAGAATTAACATATGGTCAATATATGAAGCGGACAAAAAGAATGAATTTGATCCTTTCTAGCACCATTCCAGCTCTCAAATTGAATAAACTATCCGCGGCCGGATTTTTTTCCAGATATCCGGCAAATCCGGTACCACCCGGCCGCATAGTAAAAATCACTATCCGGTGCAGCCCTACAACTTTCCCTGTCGGAGGAAACCGAAGCGCCCGGAGAAAACCCACGACTTTCGGCAGAGTGTTGACTGACTCTTTTCACGTCAGTCCGTAGCGACAATCAAATGTCGGACCAGCAACTCCATCATGTATCCATATACTCTATGCATGCAGGACAGGCCTAAAAAACCGTCGATCACCAACTCTACCAGAGACCCTTAGCTGAACGTAAAGACCATAATTAATAAGACTCTAGGCTTTATTAAACGTAATCTCAATAAGTGCCCAGAGAGGATTAAAGCCTGGTTTCCATATGGTCGTAAAGATTGAGTCACGATCTTTCTCATCAGCCGAAATACAACATTTTAGAACTGAAAATACGCAAGTGATTATAACTATATAGAGAATACTTATGATTTATATGTGGTTTAATAATAATAATAATAATAATATTTATTCAGGAAGCTCCACTCACCGAAGTGTTTTTCAGGGAGGTCCTGTATAAGGTATAAACTATTATAAACTGGCCGTTGAGAAAGATCGTAACTCTATTTTTACGACCATTACGATCATATGGAAACCAGGCCTAAAGCACAGCGGGTATAAAATCGCTGGTAAAACCAATACTGGAATATTCCAGCATTGTGTGGGATCCGCGTATAGGGCCTACCAGAAAGATTGGTTGGTATAAGTACAACGACGCGCTGCTCGGTCTGTTTACTCGGTTACTAACTTCTTATTAACCGAACGCGAGGTCTGTACAAAAAGACCGAGGTCCGATATTTCTCTGTACACACCGAGCAAGCGAGATTAATAAAAAGTTTATTATATGGCATTTAGACTTGAAACAAACAGAAATGCATGATTTGAAATGCATATTAGTAGCGTGGTACACATTTGTTCGAAGAAAACAAAAAATACTATTCCTTAATCTTTACCACTAAAACCATTCGCAATTATCTTATTAATAAAAAAAATAAACTATAATTTTCAAATTTTCAATTAGTTTTGCTGTTTTTTTAAAAAATTATGCGTTAAGTACTTTTCAGCCAATCATAGTCCGCCATTCGCGTCCTGGAACATTTGGGGTGCCCAACATTGGAGGTGAGGGGAAAAGTCGCCAGACTTATATGAATATGTATAACACACTTCATAGTCATGCAGTGTTGGATATTCCGCAATACATCCAACACCAAACATATATCAAGTCCAGATTCTCCCCTCCAATGAAATTCATCCCCATTCAAACATCTTGCGATGCATACAAATTCACCTACTGGCCAAGGACTATAACAGATTGGAACAACCTGACACCTCAAATTCTGGAGAGCGCTTCAGTAAGCAGCTTTAATACGGCTGTCAAGAACTACGTTTTTAAATGACTGATTTAGTGATTATCTTTGATTATCTAACCTTGCATGATGAGGATTCGTCGGGTTCGTTTGTGTTCGACAGTTTTTTCCCCAATGGCAATCTGCTCGAGACGTAACTGCAGCTAAAAATAAACATACATTACAAACTACAAAGATATATTACTGATATCTTAAATACTTCCGGATGAATTACTTCCGGATGAAGAACCTAGCCAGCTTGTGAAAAATGGTAAATTGGTAACAATGTAGTCATTTCATGATCATCGAGTTGGTATAATGTTGCCACTCACAACATTTTGTAATATTTTTTCTGCACGTCACTTGGTTGAAACAGAATATTGAAGTAGATGGATAAGCCCAGTGACGATATATATACCGGGTGTCCCCAAAAAAACTATACCCTGTTTGCTTTCATGTAACGTAAAATATATGAAAGCTATTTCACTAAAATAAAAGCATTGTATTCACAAAGGATTAACTTAGATTTTGATATATAACATTTAATTTTCCACGCGATATTGACAGAGCTATTGACGTTTCAAAGCTGAACTACCATTTCTGAAAATGTCAAAAATTAGCATAAAACAGAATATCAAATTCCAATTTAGTTTACTTGTTGATTATTTTTATTAGAATTATTAGAATCTAACTAAAAGAATGCATTTATGTACAAAAGGATTAGCTAATATGAGTTTATTCATCATGAAAAGTGTGTTTTTGAGCCTGAATGCACCATTGTGCTCTACAAAGCATGTCATCAAAAGCGTTTGAATCATTTGTTGATCCAAAAAATATAACGACAATGTTTGTTTCATTGCGAATTTGAATCCCAAGCCCATGCAAGGGACATCAAATGGAACTTTCTTTTAACATGAATTATTACAGACTTTGTTTAATTCTTAAGAATCCATCTTTAAGTTTAATTTTTAAAAGTAAATTTCCAAGGGAATAACCTAAAATTATAAAGATAGAATACTGAAGTTAAAAAGATTCGATGTTAGTTTGATATGGCGATTTTAGTCGTTTTTTCGCCAATTTCTAAAACTCCTCGCAACTTCAAATACTTGTATTTTCGTCCATATCGCATGGAAAATTAAATGTTATATATCAAAATCTAAGTTAATCCTTTGTGAATACAATGTTTTTTATTACAGTGAATTAGCTTTCATATATTTTACGTTACATGAAATCAAACAGGGTATAGTTTTTTGGGGGACACCCGGTATATGCACTTTTTATAACTAACCAAGCACGCTTGCAAAAAATGCAGCACTATAGGTCCCCTGGCAGAAACGAACCTACGATCCTGTGACAAGTCTGGTAGCAACATGAAAACCACATCAACTTGTCAACAATTCGTTGTTCTAGTAAATATGAGCTCGTTGTCATTTGTCAACAAGTTTGCCACGGGTCTGCACACAACAAGTTGAAACAGGCTTGATGGCGACCAGAGGCGTAGCCACGGGGAGGATAGTGGTCCAGACCCCCACCTATCTTCAGGACTAATTTTGTAATTCTTTCAAACATGAGGAGAACCTGGGGGGGGGGCGTAACCTCTTAATGTTTCATGACATAAAACACCCACAATCTGTGTCTTTCAGAGTATAATAAAACGTGCCTAAAATACACGGAATAGAGTTTCGCAGACCCTAAAAATAGCCCATACCCCCGGACTACCGGATGATTAGACACCCCCACACACTCCTTAACTTTGGGGCTCGCTACGCCCCTACAACAACCTTGTCAGGAAGCAACAAATTGTCAAGATGAGATTTTTACGTGTGTATATTAGAGACTGATTTTTGTTTAAAATGACGAACCTGGAAGTTCTGCTCTGGGTATGTCTCTTCGAAATTGAAATGCTAGCTCCTTCAGATTCTTGAGCGCACAACCATTACAAAGGATAAAATTTGAGTTCAATTCTGGATACAATACAAGATCTAAAACGTAAAGATCTGAAATCAGTGCGAATCGGATGAGATGAAAATAAAAATGGCGACACCCTGATCAGATCGAAAGCGGAACTACAGCGTACACCCCTCTTTATTTGTCCTACTTTTTATATGGGCATAGCGTAAAATCTCGCTGATAAATCAGAGCTTTCTTTTTCTCGCGTGAGAGAGTGCAATTTTCACAACATTTAGACCGTTCCAAATAAAAAAGGAGAGACCTCCGGGTCCCAATGGTTGATTTAACAAAACACTATTATCATTTACCACTATTCAGCGGATACTTCTATTAAACGGAAGCGGACACTTAACTTGGAGTCCCGATGAGCCGAAAAGCCTTAAGCGGACATAACTGATGAATTGCTAAATTAAATGTTCATAACAATGAATAGTAAAAATCAATTTAAAGACAGCTCACCAGGACATGTATTTGTTATCAATGTTGTGCGGTATTTTAACTTGAACTAATCTCGTAAAACAAACTTTCCTTCCTTTAATTTGTCTTTCAAGCAAATGCAAAAAAATCCAGTCTCCTCGAAACTTATACTCGCAAGGAAGTTCCACACTATAAGCAGCCCCTCCAATGACACGTTTACCGTTGATCACTACTGTTCCTAAATAGGTTGGCTGTACATCCTGGGTCCTGCTGTATTTGCTGCTGCAAATCCGTATTTCCGAAAATGTCCGCTTAATAGGGGGACCAACAGTATCAAAATTGTTTAAGGTTATTCAAATGGCATGAAGAACGGTGGGATTTTCAAAACAATGAAAAGATTATGGAACACGATTTTTTTGTGTTTTCAAAAATATTACCTGTCGTGGTGTACGACTTTGAGTCTAACTTCTCCAAGCATTTTGAAAGAAGATCTTGGATGCTCCAATCTTTGTCGTTGAGATAATTCTTATATTGAAAAGTAGTTTAACATATTAATTAATAACAATGGTCGGAAGTGTGGGATACTAAAAAATAAATTTAATTCTTAGAAATTCAAATCTCTCTACCTCCGTCGTGGACAGCATCTCTCGAATACGGACATCTCTCTAATACAGATACAGTGTACCTTTCTAATACAGACACCTCTCTAACAAGTGCATTTCTCTAATACGCACACCTCTCTAATACGGACACCTCACTAATACGGACACCGCTCCGATAAGAACACATCTCTAATACGAACATCTCTCTAATATCGGCACTTTTTCAATACGGACACTTCTCTAATATGGACATTTACTCTCTAATATTGTCAATAGAGAAGTGTCTGTTGTCAATAGAGAAGTGTCTGTTGTCAATAGAGAAGTGTCTGTTGTCAATAGAGAAGTGTCTGTTGTCAATAGAGAAGTGTCTGTTGTCAATAGAGAAGTGTCTGTTGCCTACAGTACCTCCTAAATACGGGAAGCTCTCTAATACAGACATCTCTTTAATGTGGACAACTCTGTAATAAGGACACCTCTCTAATACGAACACCTCTCTAAAACGTACGCTTCAGGCTTCCTATATGGAAGTTCGAATGTATGTCAATAATTTAATAGCCAATATTTCAAATCTGTAGGAAATTTAGTAACAAGGAGCAACAACAGTACTCCATCTCATCCCTTACCTTCAAAATCTGTGATTCATATTTGTTATTCAGTATTATTCCATCGAGACAGTTGTTGTATAATTTGATGTCTAAAAGCGTGTCAAGCAATAAATCGTTGAATTATAAAGAGAAGTTTCTCAGACAGTAAAAACCCACATTACAAGAACCGCCTGCACCTGAAAAACACGAAACGCATGAGGGAAAAAGGGGCCTGTGTCAGTGAGCTCTGTGAACGATCCTGTGGGTTATGGACGAGAAAGTTGCTCGCGAGAAAATAGATTTATATTATACTATTTATAGCGGTGAGAGCAGTGGTACCGGTTTGTTTTGGTGACCCAGCCCGCCTCAAAAGTCTCATGTACACACTGTATGAAACCAGCTAGCCAAAACGAGCTAGTTCGGGTACCTGCATGGGCTGGCTCGCCTCCCTATAAACACCCCATATATTCACCCAAGTTCTGACATCACAATCATTAGATTTACGCTATGCAATTGCCACCTATAGACCCATTGCACATGACGTCACAGCGCCGGCGACGATGCATCTGGAGGACAAATTAGCAATCTATGCATAATATAATTGTTGTAAACAAAGCAAATTTTTAAAAACTTTACAATAATTTTGTATTAAAATGGTAAATTTTCGCGCTGTATGTGGTTGTTGCACCCGAACAGATATTGTTAGGGAGCATCTGGAGGACACTCTAAGGATTTGTGACGTCAGTGCAATGGGTCCATATCTACAAGTAATTTGACCGTGTTTAAAAAGAGTTACCTTTAAATTCATTGAGGCATCCTAGGCAGCTAGGTTTATCACATTTCCACAGTAAGTGACAGAAGAATCTGCTGCAAATTCCACCTAAATCCAAAATACATAATAATACACTACATACTGTACTTTCATGGTGACTAAAAAAATAAGAGTTGAAAGCTAAAACACCAAAACTTTTGGAGTTGACAAGTGTTCAGCCTTTTTCCGGCATGTTACAAAAAATACCATCAAAAAATTTTAAGACAAATGTTTGGTACAAGCTGCGGATTTTGTTCAGTCTGCACGCATACGTGACAAAAGGTCGATATAAACTTCACAAACAAAAGACAATGCAAAACCGTAACGGAAAGCGAACATGCAAATTTGGCTATCTCAGATAATGGTAATGTTGGGATAGTAGCGTTGCAAGACTATACAGAGGAGAATGGAGTAGTAAGGCTACCTCATGCATCAATCCATGGAAAACCTGCACCCCTCTTTACAGATGAGGCTAGATCCGCCCCTGATTTATAAGGCAATATAAAAGGGTAAGTAAATAAGTAGGGATACATGTATGTTAATCATCCTTACTCGCTATGGAGAGCTAAGCTGAATTGTGAAGGTTTTCAAAGGGTGCCTCAGGCAGGATTCTTCGGCAATCTATTGTATTCTTTTCCGACAGACAAAGCATTTTACACACCAATGACCACAGACTATGGAAATCCCCGATTCTTACGACTAGTGTGAACCAGTAATCAAGTCTGATCACGAAGCACAGCTACGGCGGAAGGGTAAGGTAGAAGCTAATCCCCAACCCACTCTGTCAACACTCCCAGTGAGAGGAAACCACAGTACCCGTACAAAAGTACTCTTTTCACATCTGACATGCAGTGTCATGAGTCTGCAGAAAGAATCGAGCACACGATCTTAAAGCTGAGAAGCCCTTGCTCTAATGATTGTGTGACCGAAGGGCCCAAGAAACAAGAAACCGTACTTACATTTTTGACTTTTAGCGTAAGGAATGCCTCCTGGTAGAGGGGGTAGGTTCTCTTGTTTTGGCATTGGTTTTTGACAACAGAAACACATGAGATGAACAGGTCTATCTGGACACACTGGTTGAGGAACACCAGGTCTTATTTCTGGACCAGTTGTTGTTGAACTGCTCGCCTCTATATTGCGGTAAAAAGGGATAAATAAAATCAATATGCTGGATTATGCAACATGACTAAGGTGATTCAACTTTATACGCAACATCTCCTGGTTACACAGGCACCATGCAGCAATTTTACGATTAAGAGGGGGGGGGTGTTGAGATGAGGTGAGTCGAACAATCCTGTAGGCTGGATTACCAGCCCTGGTCTCAATTTGGTCAGGGGAGCTTCCCATAGTATCCATTTGTATATTGCCTGACGATAGGCAGACATATTTCAGTGAAACGCATGTCTAACTGAAAAATTAGTGAAGATTCTTGCCGATGATCATCGTATTGTAAAAGAACAATTACACAAAGTATGCAACGGACAAGTTGAACGTTACTCTGCTTTGAAAATCACATAGACACGCTTAAAACTGCTAAACTGTAGAACCCCAAAACACCTTCAAAACCACGTTTCGCCTTTCCAAAACTGATAATTTTGTTCAAGCCAATGGCAGTGCTACGTAAAAAACGGCGAAATATATTTCAACCTTGTACTGTTTGCTGTAGTCTGGTCGCAGGCGTTGTTATTCTTACGCCAAGCGAGAAAAAACTAACGTCTGCTTACCCGAGCGCCAAACTGAATTCCGCTACGTCAACGAATCAGAATTTACATTCCAAATTCTGGAAAGTGACGTCAGTTGACTTAGGAGCGGAATAAATATAAATAAACATTTTGAAAGCAGTCGTCGGTTGAATTGAATTTAAAGATATTGATACTTGTCCAGGTAATAAAATGCACCATTAATGATCAGATTTGGATATTGAAGATGTTCGGTTATATATTTAAAACGCGGACAGGATGGCATATTTATACTGTATGAATCTGGGCCAGACAGCATTAAATGCCGAATATATTTCGCTGAAATTTGAACTTTTGACGGATGTTTATCTTTATAAGACAACAGAACTCGGAAGGCAGAAACTTTTATATAATACTGTGGCTTAGAAAGCGAAATATTAGCTTCAAAGTGAACTAATTTGCCGTTTGAGCAACCCTTCAATGTAAACTGTAAACACATGCACAAACCCGCGAGAAACTTGTGATTGCGCCGAGATGAATTTTCCAATCCGCCCAAACCTCGAAACGTTTATACTCAAACTTGGCAATACTTTTCTATATGACAATGAGAGTTTTTAATCTTTGAGAAGTTTTCGTCGAAGGCATGGCATATAGGAAGTATCAAGAGCAACATTTGGACATATCCTGACATATTCGAGTTTCCCGATTGATTGTTTGGCATTGTTAACAAAATTTAAATTGCAATGCTTTTGCATTGTATAATACACCGATTGTTTGCAGAACATGCGAGAAGATGATCACAATATTATTCTACGCAAACGTCGTGAAATTCAACGCTATAGACAGTTTCTAAAATATTTCCACGCAAGTAAACAAATTTCAACTGAAATAATATATTCCCATGTGCAAGGGCTTTCCCCAGTAGCCAATCCCTCAGTAAGGCTTAGTTTTAGTTTTAACAGCTTTATTGAACGATGTTCAAACGGCAAGAGTGCGAACGGGACTCGAGACCCATACGAGGCACTCTCCCTCTTGAATTTAGTTTACTGTACATCTAATATTATTATTTACGTAATATCATAGTTGCCTCGAAATCCTTTGTCTCGCGAGGTACGATTAATCACTAATTTACCTAATTGCCCGTGGTAAAATTAGTTCTAATTTTCCCCTGCATGCTTGATGAGGGATATTTAGAAGACAAACGCGTACCTCATTACCTCTGATTGGAGAGTTGTACCTCATCGAAAATCATCGGCACAACTATGGACAGTATCTGACGACACCGTCCCGTACACATTCGAACAATCACTTGGCCAGCTTTTATTCCCTAATCTTGAACATTTCAATTGTGGGAGAAAATTCCGTTTATGCGCATGCCTAAAACGAATGAACACGGAGATGTGTTTCTGCGCGTGCTTATATATGAAAAATGTTCGTACCACAATCATAAGACAATCAAACAGCATTCAAAACAGGCAACACACCACGCGCGATTCCCTCGGCAACTATGACATTACAAAGTAATAGCATGGCATTACGGTCGATTAGTGATGAAATGTTCCTCAAGCCTCGAGAGGTTTAGTAAACTTTTACTAAACCTCTCTCGGCTTTCGGGTACATTCAATCACTAATCGCCCTGAATGCCATGCTATTACTTATAAACAATATTATAAATTGGTAAACATATACCAGCTGATTGATATCAAATTAGGACGCTATTGCACCACATTCAAATTATCATGAATAAAATACACTAATACAGATTTGTATAATCATGTTAAAAATTTGAAAGCTGAATCAGGATAAAACAGGCGGCTTCCAATTGGCTCTAACTCTTTTGAACACTGCCAGATGATTGGCTCCTAAAACAAAGGGAATTGAATGTGCAGCTCAGGTAAGCAGACGTTAGTTTTTCGTCGCTTGGCGTGAGAATAACAACGGCTGCGAGCAGGCTATGTTTGCTGTGCAATGATAGTATAGCCAGCCGAGCATGCAACTATTAATATTTATTTAATACAGTACCCGTACTGTACCAATTTCCAAGCACGAAATCACTCCCTTCCCCCCTCTACCCCCTGCGACGTCCCAGTTAGGTCCAAATAAATATGTAATAGATAAAACATGAGCAGCCGATCTGTATCTGATATACAAACTCGAGCCGAAGGCGAGAGTTTGTATATCAGATACAGATCGGATGCAAATGTTTTATCGTTCTTAAAAAATGACCCGTCTTATGAGTTCATTGGCGAAGTAAGGCCAATGAAAATTGATATCATGTTTCTCGTCCACAATTTTCAAAAATTTGGAGCGGGATTTTTTCATTTTTCATTATTTTTTGTATTTGAATTCTGCTTGTCAATAATTTCCTTGACCCAGCAAAAACCCCCATAAAAATCTGAAGTATTAAAAATTGGTGTATAGTTCATTTTAATTTAATACGTCCTACACTACAGTCTACAGACTACAGTATATTTCTACACATACCACAACCTCGTTCCCAGGGTTCGCTCTCCACGAGCAAATACCCTGGGTACGAGGTTGCACATACCAGGGCTGACATGAAAAATAGAGGCATTCTGGCGAGTAATATCTTTAGAAAGATACAATTTGAGTTGCGCTTGCGGAATGCAGCAATAAGACTTTGATCTGGAGATGAATTTGGTGTTTTTTAAGCCTATTTTTCAAAAATAATGAATAATGAAAAATTTTCGTGCGGCAGATAAATCCCATGCGGGCGGGGACGAGAAACATGATATCAATCTTCATTGGCCTAATTTTAAAAATAAACATTGTCTAAGCCGAGAAAATCAAAGCTGAAGCTTATGTAAATCAGGACAAATCTTTATCCGATTTACAAACATTGATAAATCATTCATTTCTCTTGTATTTTCCTCCCCAATTAACCAAAATTTTGATCTCAACAAGTCTAGACAAATTTGCGAAATGTTGTAAAATGCGGATAATATAGCCTTGCGAAATTTGCAATTTTCAGTCATTTTAGATTACAAACGGGAAATGGTTGCCACTTTTCCAAAATTTGGATCTTAACTAGCCTAAACAAAAATTTCATCACAGCTTGAAAGAGCATCACAAAATTAATCACAAAGTTTCGTTGCGAAATGTTGTAAAACGCGGATAATATAGCCTTGCGAAGTTTGTAATTTTCAGTCATTTTGTATTACGCAAAGAAGTGGTAACCATTTCCCGTTTGTAATCTAAAATGACTGAAAGCCTACTAGTAGCGTAGCCAATCAGAAGGCACGATATGTGATAGCCTACTAGTAGGTTTATACTAAATATATATAAACAAGGCAGGATTTCCGCAACAGCTACAGCCAATTACTGCGGATCCTTCTTCACAATATTCGTTAAATTAGTTAAGTTTATTGAACAGTAAACGGAAAAGGACTAAATAATAAAATCAATCAATCAATTAACGAACTGTTCAATTGACGTTCTTAATTACATGTATCATATGCGCACTATAAGTATAACGCTCTATGTGCACTATAACGACTTACCATTGTTGTTTTTGGTGTTACTCTGAGTGTATTTGTGTGTGTTTTGATGTTATGTACTCAGGTGAATATAATGTTTCTGATGTTACTCTGAGTGTATATCCACACCAGGCAGGCTGAACAATTTGCCTGACCACGGTGGGAATCGAACCCACGACCTTTGGGATACTAGTCCATCATAAGAACACATTGGTATCGAAGGTACTAGACTTAGTTCCGATACACAACACACTGGAACCTGACCTCGTAGCTCAGTTGACCTCGTAGCTCAGTTGACCTCGTAGCTCAGTTGACCTCGTAGCTCAGTTGGCAGAGCATTGGACTAGAATCCCAGAGGTCGCGGGTTCGATTCCCTCCGTGGTCAGGCCAGTGAACTCTATATATATATATATATCTGGAACGATAACATTCAGTCATTTGATTGTGAAAACAATGAAGCCTCGATACCAGTCTTTCACGCGGATTGGACGTCAGTCTCAGTCCCTCAAACGTCAGGTTTACGCGGATTGGACGTCAGTTTCATTCCCCCTCTTGCAAACCGTTGCACGGCCAGTATAAATTTGAACGCAATCACGAAAAAAAAATTAAAAACATGGCCAACTCAATGCAATACATTTTAGGAGCAAACTGTTTTGCTCCTAAAATTTACTGCATTGAGTTCGCTGTCGGAAAAAAGTCGAGGAAAACTTCCCCGTGTGGAGAAAAGAATCACTTTTTCAAGTATATTGTGTCGTACTGTCGTTCTGGATGCACAAGGAAAGAGATGTTCTTGCGAGAAAATTTCATTTCACAGGTAGGTAAATTGACTTGCAACTGTGACTTTGCCGTTGCCATTTTTCGCGATTGTTTGAATTGTTTTTTAGTTTACCAGTTTTATAGTTTTTAGTCAATACACTGGTACGTTATTTTTTAAAGAATTTATTGTGTGATGGGAATTTGCCTGCCAGCAAAATGTAAATGAATATGTACGTGTGTTTGAATATAAATATAGACCATATGGGCTCAGTAAAAAATTATTTTAATAACTACGTTTCGGAGTATAACTCCATCTTCAGGTTAAAAGTGAATAAAGATATAAAAACTTTGATAAAAACTTTCAAAACAATTACAAATTTTATATGTAAGTGATTTTTAATACTGTAAGAAAGTTCTTGAACAGTTGATGACGAAGACAATGACGAATACTTATGTCGAGATATTTTTGTCGGCTTCACTTTTCGCTCGCTGTTATCATTCCAGATATATATATATAGAGTTCACTGGGTCAGGCAAACGTTTCAGCTTGCCTGGTGTGGATATCAGTAACATCAGAAAAAGATACAGTAACATCAGAATCATTATATTCACCTGAGTACATGAAATCAAAACACACACAAAAAAGACTTACCATTTCTTCAGTAATTTTATTTTTGGCGTCCATTTCCGCTATTTCGTCCGCATCATGCTGTCACTTTGTAACATCATAGCTACCGAGACAATAATGACGGTTTCCTTCGAATGTTCGTTAACGAGGTTATACGGTTTATTTTTCATGTCTTTTTGAACATCAATAATATGAATAAAGATGAGGGACGATCAGTAACTATCATACTCCCGTGGGATGATTAAGGTTACAGAACACATTTGAGTGTTAATTTTGCCTAATTTTTTTTTATTGGTTTCCATGAAAGCATTAGACTAGTTCTACTATCTGACCAAGTTTGAATGAAAAATGTTGAAAACTCGCAGAGTTATTTAATAAAATACATTTCGCTGCAATAAGAAAAACATTGAAAATGTAATATTCAAATTCAATTTTCTCCCGAAAAATTTTACGGTAATTACTGATTTTCAAACGAGTTGTGCTCCTGCGGGTTTTAACCAATTTTTCTAAAATTTTCACAGGACATAGCTTTAAAGACGTCAGTTTCAAAATTGTGTTCGGCTTTTTTTAAATTTTGGATATTTTAATAATAAAGAGCAATTCACTCAAACAATTCAGAAATATATTGCAGTCGTGAAAGAAATCGCCATATCAGCGGAATGACGAAATATACAACAATTTCCGAACACCATTTTTTAGAACAACTATTTTAGTGTATAAAAATGATATTTTCATTTAATATTTCGAGGTAGCTATTTGCCGGATACCGGATATTGGTTACACAAGGTTCAGGCCTAATCATTCAAGGTTAAAAAGTTATTTTTATAGGTCTTATAATACTCATTAATAATTCATGAAGAAAATTCAAAAGAAAGGAATGTTTAATCAATGTTTGTAAATCGGATAAAGATTCGTCCTGATTTACATAAACTTCAGCTTTCTCGGCTTAGACAATGTTTATTTTTAAAATTACTTCGCCAATGAACTCATATGATGGGTCGTTTTTTAAGCATAAGATGGATCGTAAGATGGGTCGTAAGATGGGTCGTTTTTTAAGCATAAGATGGATCGTAAGATGGGTCGTAAGATGGGTCGTTTTTAAGCATAAGATGGATCGTAAGATGGGTCGTAAGATGGGTCGTTTTTTAAGCATAAGATGGATCGTAAGATGGGTCGTTTTTTCGCCTTCGGCTCGAGTTTGTATATCAGATAAAGATCGGCTACTCATGTTTTAACTAGTACATAAAGTGATGGTGTTAAAAATGTTGCTTGCTCAAAACTCAATAATGTAAAAGTTTACCTTAAATTGCAAATTTCGCAAGGCTAT